AACATTAACGAGTTGTGCGAGGTATCGGCTGAGATTTGTGGAGTACAATTCAAAAAACAACTATAGGTATTGTGATGTTAAATAGACAATGTTAGCTATCAAGGAGCAATGTTGTTTTTCATTGGGACCTTCGTCCCTTCAAGGCTAGGCCTATACCATCCCAGCTAGTCTAGGCCTAGAGTAGGATAAGGCTAGCACGACATGCGGACGTTGGTACGTGTAGGTTATAGTCTACAAACGTCGCCTAAAGTAATTGATTTTACCCGACAGAACGAAAGAAGGAAACTTCGCTTTTCAGTCGTCTTAGGCCCTTGTTTTTTGACAAAAAATGACCTTTCAGAGGTCAAATTGCTGTCAAGAATATGAATTGGCTGCTTCGCAGCAATAACACATTAGGTAGGACAGATATCTTTTCATACTATTTCTCCTGAAGCAAAAAACACCATTGAAAGATCATTGCAGTACCCGCTGCGGCGCTGCTACTTGGGAATCGGATTTATGACTATCCACCAAGCTCAAGCAACATCAGGCTAGTTACCTGGAGGTTGTGGGTTCGATTCCCACCCGAATCACTTGCAGGATTTTTTTTGTAGCATTTTGAAATGTACTGAGCATTCAGTACTTACAGTACACATGAGGTATGGCAAACATCGTTTCTTATTATTTCTCCTGACGCAAAAACGCCATCCAAAAACGACTATTACATGACAACACAATTTCTGAGTCCATCCCTTTGCACAAATTATGTTAACTGTCAAAGCCTTCAAACTTGTTAGTTATGGCACATTGCTCATCAATTATATCAAATCACGTCACATTACAATTAACACAATCAATAGGTTGAATCAATGTTAAATTGACCACGAACTTACAATGCAAATTTAGATTTTTTTCAGTTAATCAATAGCGGTGACACGTTAAGGGCAATGGGATGCAATGTAAACAGTTTTTTTAACATTGGGTGTTGAGGAATTTTATACAATTTGGCAGTGTACAAAATGGACACACAATGGATTGTAATCAATATGAATTGTTAACAAGCAGAAATATATAAACAAAAGAAGAGCAATGGAGTAGTTGTTTCGTTGTTGTTGTTGTTGCCATGAAATTTCCCCTTAGTGGGATGAATAAATTATCCTTTTATCCTTGTCTATTTGAGGGAAGCGTTTATTCGAAATGAAGCTCTAGAGGGGCGTTTATTCTATGGAGGCATTTATTCAAAGCGGGTCGTTTATTCAAATAAGTCTGGTATTTGTGTATTATTGCAGTAGCTTGTGAGAAATGTGTCCTAACTCGCTTGATCCTTTTAGATATAGCAATATCTATCTATAAATTGAACAAACCCATACCTATAGTTATCATTGATGTCAGTAGTGGAACCAGGAATTTGAAATAGAGGGGCCTAGGAAGGAACTTCCACAAAACAGAGTGTCTACTACCTCAGCCCCACCATAGTTGGGGCTGAGGATAGAAAATTTATGATTTTGGCAAATCTAAATGGCCAGAAATGGCACTCTCAGACCTACATGTAAATTTAATTATAATTTTCCTTTTTTGCTCAATTATATTTTATAATTAAAAAAAAATTTAGGGGGCCTGGGCCGGCTATGCACCCCCCCCCCCCTTTAAATCTGCCACTGGATATACAATATCCTGTGCAGCAATATTAAATTGTGAAGTATGTCTGATCTCTCTCTTTGACAGGTGGTTAAGGCCAGAGTAAAGGATCTACGATTGAAACGTTACAAGATCATTGTCGTCATCCACATCGGGCAGCTCAATGACCAAGGTATGCGCATCTCAAGCCGGTGTTTATGGGACGACTCCAACGATAACTTTTCTACTCATGAATTCAGCAATAACTCACTATTTGCGGTTGCGATGGTCTACGGGGTGTACTATGAGTAGAAAGGGGGTGATGAAAAGGGAAGGAAAGGCATTTATTTAAGATAATTAAGGTATTATGATATTTATTCAAGAAATATTTTATTTCAATAGGCGGAATCTAAAGTTGATTCTGTAGCTGAGGGCTCCCAAGTCCAGAGGGCCCACCTCTCTTGTCTTGGAGTTCAGACAAGGCTGTTCAATGCTTTGGTGGCACACAGCAAGTCTGTTTACCTCCCCAGCATATGCCAGTAATCATTTTACTCCAGGTAGAGAGATACAAAATGTAAATAAAGTGTCTTGCCCAAGGTCACAACAGAAGCAAGGGTTTTGGACCATTGACCTCAAGGTTGATAGTCTGTGGCACAACCACTTCACCAACCACTCTCTTTGGGACCTAGATAAAAGTTGATTTATTTACACTGGACGTTTCTGGAATAGTAGCACATTGTGACAGCATGAGGAATAATTTACTAGAATATATTTGATACTTAATCTGATAACACAAATTAAAATAAATGTATTCATAATATGAAAATACTTATTGTATTATTTTTGCTAAACCAGTAATAAATATTTAGTTAAGATGCTGGTAAAAGTGTGGGAATAGATACCAGTTCACTGTTTGTTAATCATGTTGCTCACTCATTTTGTAGTTTTAACAAATTATCTTTAGGTACATCTCAGTATAGGGTCAACTCTTTTTAACTGATTTCATATCACATATTTTTTGTGAAGCGTAGCTGTGTGTATGTAAGTACAGAAGTTACAATATAAAGTAGATTTGATTATATAAGGATTATTAGTAGTAATTACCAAAACACACCTTTTTATTTTTAAACTCAAATAATTAGCAAAAGATTTTTACTTAATTCATGCATTGTGTTTCAACTTCATAAAAAAAAGTGGATTGTATATGATTTTTAAAGGTTTTTTTAAAGGTTTTATTGTACTGTAGATAAGCATTTTATCAATGAATTTCAAAATTGTTTTTAATTCTATATATCTACCCCTCGTTAATTCAAATAATTATCAAGATATATCATTTTTTCATTGATTTGCATGTAAATAATTGAACAAAACTTTTTTTTATACAATTAATGCATTTCCTCCCCCTTTGTGTGATTTGGTAAGCATTTCAAATTATATATACAGTAATATTCTATGTCCTGGTGATTGAGAGAAGTACTTTTTTACCTAATTAATTTGTATCTGCTATCAATGATGATAATTATTATGTATAGGTTAAATTTTGTTCATGAACGGTATTGCAATTCTGCCCTATCATGTTTTGAACTATATAAAAATAATTTTTATTTTTAAATTATATAAAATTTAATATTTACATTTGATAGGACATTGTATGAATCATACATTGTTGATGAATGTAGTGGGTGGACCCAGAGAACATTTCCCGTTCCTCGGTTTCTCTGTCTTTGTTCCCCTTATCTTTCCTGATTTGAATGCCAACATTATAAACAATAAATTCAGAAATGTTTATTTCCCATGTATGCTCCCTTGCTTCTTTGCTTATCAAAAATGCTGTTTTATATAGTGGCAGTTTCAGGTGCCATGAGGAATATTCCCCCCCCCCCCTTCCCAACATTTTGAATGCTAAAATTTCATATTTACTCATTGAAATATCCTTACCTCCTAGTGCCCCTGTTTTAATAATCCTCTCTCCGGCCCCGCTATCCACAGTATATCACCTCAATTGATTTCCGTCCAGTTTAATCTGCAAACTCCATTATGTATGAGGTGATTGACACAAAGTGATTTCATTGCCAAATTACTGAACATTCCAAATGCTTTAATCATGCCATGATTTTATAAGGGATTATATTTTGAGTACATTATTATATTATATGCCAGCATATGCGATTTGTATATAATTCATTTTTAGCCGTATTATTTCCAAATCATGTTAATAGTTCATTGTGACAATGATAATTGTGATATTAATGCCTATGATTAAACAGTGCATACATTTATGTAAAATATATAGCAAACACTAGAACCATTCAATATATATAATTAATATGTTATAAAAGCAATTTCTTATATTGTAATTAATAATGGATATATTATAATCATTATTATTTTATAAATATAATGCTGTTACATAATGTAATGGCCATTTATAAGATATGGAATGTTAGATGCACATTACACTTACTGCAAAACTCATATATTGAAAGTATTAAATAAATAAACCCTATTTTTTTTATAGTATATATACATTATAACATTCTAAGTGACTCTAATATGATGTAATATTGTTTTCCTTAATTCGCTATTTTTTAATTATCCAGTTAAAGTAAGTATTATTCCAAAATAAGTATATTTTGAGAAACTCACAGCGCCTGCTTTTTGTTTGTACAAATTAGTAATCTGTAACATTATTAATGTATTTCCTTTGTTGCTGTTTCATATTTTAGTCCTTATAAAGCCTGGTTTCCATGAAATCGCTACACGCTATTGCTGACAGCTTTTGGCAACGCTGATTGGTCAGTTTAACAATTGCAGTGTAGTGATTTTATGCAAATCAGTCTAAGTTTTAGCAAATAGTATAGAACTGCAATTCTATACTCTTTGGTTTTAGTTAATGTATATTCATAGTCTAGTTGTAGCGGTTATGTGTGTTCAGGATATGACCTGGTGAAAAACAACTCCTCAGTTAACAATTTTCTGTTATTGAAAAAGATTTAATATCATTATCCGTCCAATTTTTTTTTTTTCATAATTTGTTACTCCATCTGCATAATTTGTGATAATATAATATGATATGAACAATCTATATTTATACAATGCGTTATTCTTTACAAATGTAATAAGAGAGCAGTTGAGTGTTAGATATACCAAGCTAATAATAAAAATATAATGCAGGCGTCGCTACACTAACCTACTTATTGCTGTTGTTCATTTTAATGAGTGGGAGTTATTTATAGCAACTGTGTGTTGCCTTCAGCAAATGATAATTATACAGTACTGTAATGTTGAAAAGACCTATAATGAAATGCTATCATCAACATTTACTTGATTTACTTGAATCCCAGGATGACTGTAACTGTAATCCTGGGTATAGAAGCCAAACATACAATGCTTATTGGACCCTCGATGAGCAATCTATACTACTTCGTATACGGCGCAAATTTTACCGGGTAGTCAGCCCAAAGCCTCTCAATTGCGGATTTAAACATATTTAAGGATGTAGCATTCACATCCTCCTCAGACAATGAATTCCAAATCTTAATAATTCGCCTTGAGAATGTCCCTTTCCTCAGATTAGTTCTAGATTAATGCTGCTTTAATTTATATGAATGGCCTCTAGTGACACTATCAGTATTAAAATTTAAAAAAATAATAATCTTTAGAAATATCAAAACCATAAACAATTCTAAACACTTGCAATAAATCTGCACGCTGTCTTCGATACTTAGTGTTGGAAGATTTAGGGCTTTCAATCGTTCCTCATATTGAAGATGACGATATTCAGGAAACATCCTAGTAGCACACTGCTGTACCTTCTCAAGAAGGTCTTCATCTTTCTTAAAACTTGGAGAATAATACAACATTGCAATACTCTAAAATAGGTCTCACAATAGATACAACTTTAAAAGCCCTTTAGATTTTAGAAAACGAAAAGATCTTTTTGAGATATCAGCAACATACATCTTGATTCAATTTGTGTCATTATTATTGTGCCGGGAGTCCAGTACCTACCGCACATAGGCCACACTGCACAATTTCTTTCACTGAATTCATATTATTATTGTACGGTATTTATTACAACGGAGAAGCCACCACGCCTTCCACACAACTTCGACCCACGTTTCCCCTCCCCATCTCAACTCTACTGCTTCTAACGCCCAAGTACAGTAATATAAGCACATCTTTCCCAGCACATTGCATTTTGCAACACCAGCTTTATCTTCCATGTCACGTACACGTACTGTTGTTGCACTGCACTTATTCTTCAACAACCTCCATTGTGCAATAATGCACTTGCGCCAACACGTATAAATTGTGCCTATTTTGGTTGGCTCCGATGATGTAGGGCATCTCTTTCAAAATCAAAATGATGTATGTGTGTTAATTAAGTACGCCAAAATCGATTTATTTTCAATAGTTTTCATTGGTTAAGACCAGGCCCGTAGCCAGGGGGGTTTTTAGGGGTTCGGGCGAACCCCCCATTTTCAGCGAACCCCCCTTTTGCCAGCGAACCCCCTTAACCAGAAAACGATCCCCCGTTTCCAAAATAGTGCAATTTATTACAAAATAGGAGCATTTTTGGCACTGTTTATTTGTCGCTATCGTTCGTAGTCCGATCGTAGAAATCAAAACAAAGCTGCAGCCAGCTGAATGACGTAACCAGCAAGTCTTCAAAATGAATATTAATGAGAGGTTTGTTGCCTAAGCTATTTGACCAATCGCGGGCTCCGTAGTTTATTTACTTTGGCACGACGTCATCACAAAAGTTTGGGCGCTCGACAATTTTCATTTCTCTGGATCGGATCGAGGACATGCGATACGCCAAAAATAGCCTAGGAGGAGGATGAAGCGCCGAGAAAGGATAACCGATTTTTTTGCTTCAAGGCCAGCAACGAAGAAATCACGAAATTTAAGAAGTTAGAAAATTCACCCTTGTTTTCACCACATGCTCATGATACTGCCTGGCGGCGGGATCGGTGTACTTTTTCGGGCTAGGCCTAGGCCCTAGGTCTAGCGTTGCTAGGTAGGGTAGGGCCGTAGTCTATGATGAGGCCTATTATTTGCGAACGATTTTATTATTAATTTTGTAATCGAGCTAGGATAGGCCAGGGCCTAGGCTAGCTAGGCTAGCGAGGAAATATACTTGGAAAATGTTTTCACGTTTCGTCAGAATTAACTGACATTATTCATAATAATATATTTATTATTTTTTCTCAATATATCTCATTTAAACCAAGACAGCTCTTAAATTATTGTTTATTTTCACTGTTTTTTTACATAAACTGGTTCTTAAACATGTACATTTGTATCATTATAATTATATCTGTTTTTTTTTTTCAATATTACCGTGCAAGTATATTTACATGGTTCTGTAACTTGTAAATATAATAACATCTTTCCTTGCCCTAATTATATATATTTCCATTGCAACTTAACATTTAAGTTATTTTGGTAAAAAAGTAAAATGTGCAAGGTCTGTGTTTTGTACAGTCACCTAGTGGGTTTTGCTAATTTTATCCCAGTTATATTTTTAGAGATAACATTACATAGTAGCATTAAAATGTTAAGCATTGCTTTTTAATAAAAAAAAATTTTGTTTCACAATAAACATTTACGTTCTAAATCCTGTATTGGAAAAAGTAGTCTTCTTATCTTATTTTTAAAATTGTGTAAGAAGTATTTAAATATACATGAACATGCATTTAAATGACATGTACATGCT